TACCTTTATGGTTGACTCTCCAAGATTTGATGATATTTCACGATTTTATAACATTTCTACTATCAAATATATTACGCTTTCATGAAACCCACTTTTTGTCATGGCAATTTTCATTGATTAAAAAGGTGCATTATGAAGGCAGCCTTCAACACATCCTTTGCTTCGAAGTATTTTTCGATTTTTGAGACAAGAGTATGTAATGCTGTAATTGTTGATTTGCCTGGTTGGTAAGCAAATTGAGCTTTACTCATTGGTATTTTTGGAATAATTTCAGATTTGATGTGTTCATCTATTATCTTTTCCATTAATTTAAGGAAAATTGACGACAAACTGGTAAGCTTTAATGGCTTGGGAGAAGACTTGTCTTTTTGATAAGCTTTGGTATGAATACTACTCGAACTTGTCGCCACGTTGTAGGAATATATCTTAACAAAAAGCTTGCTTTAAGTAAACTTACTAATACTGTTTCAATACTGTTTTACACTTCAATATTGTTTTACACTTTTTAATTAAAATTGGATGAATTCCATCCAAACCTGGAGATTTGAATGGCTCAAAAGAGTCTATAGCCCATGCAACTTTAGGATTAGTAAACATTACACTTTTTAGATTTTTTGAACATTACACAAACATTACACTTTCATTGGACTGTCTTGATCCATTTACTGAGTCATGATCTCTAGCGAAACAGATAAAGAGGAAATAGTAGGCAAGACCCTCTGAAATGAGATTGCATCATTACTTTCAAGGTTTCTTCAGAAGTTAAGGTAAAAGAACCGTCTTCTTTTTAAAGGGCTCCTAAGCCGTTTGCATGATCATTAGAAAAGACTTTTTTAAGTCTTGCGATAACAGGAGTACTTCGTTGCCTTCGTATTGCACTAGGCTGTATGCACTCGACTCATACGATGAGCCTCGAAGTACTCGCGGGTGTTCTCCCACTGACAGATCGTTTCGCTGAGCTGTCTTTCCGGTTTCGCATCCATTGTGAAGTAATGAATCCTTTGGTAATAGAACACTTTGAGAAGCTGCTCGACCGAAATCCTCAAACAAGATTCATGAGTTTGTACTATGAGTACATGACGCTGGAGGTTGGTCCTTCTTTATTAATCTCCAATCGTGATTGCTTTCAAGCCTTCTATAGTTCCTCTGTACATTTTGATCTGACCATGATGCAAGAAATCCATGGAATACCAGATCACCATCGGTCGATGGTTGTTCCCTCAATTTTTGCAATCAAGTACCGCCATGTAAGTAACGATAATGTTTTTTTTCACAGATGGGTCAACCGTAAATGCTTCCACCGGATTTGGTGTATTTAATCAATTTCATAGCGCCTCCTATAAACTGCAAAAACCATGCTCCGTATACGTTGCGGAACTCACAGCTATATGTTACGCAGTAGAGCGAATTGCCTCACTACCTTCTGACCATTATTTCATTTTTGCGGATAGTCTAGCTCATTGAAGGCTATTCGTTCAATGAGGCCGATGAAGCACTCCTCGTATTTCCTGCCTGAAATACGATCTAAACTGAGTGCTTTATCTAACTGCTCCTATACTATCACCATAGCTTGGGTCCCATCTCATTGCTCAATTTCGGGTAATGAGAAAGCGGACTCGTTGGCTAAGGTGGGCGCTATGGAAGGCGATATTTTTGAGCGACAAATCGCCTTCAACGAATTTTTCTCCATTGCTCGTCAGCAAGTCCTCATCAGTTGGCAACAAAAATGAAATGATGGTGAATTGGGAAGATGGTTATATTCTATTCTCCCACAGGTGTCGAACAAACCATGGTTCAAAGGGTTGAACATAAGCGGCGACTTTATACGCGTTATATCAAGGCTTATGTCCAATCACTAATCGTTAGACTCGCACTTCTATCGAATTGGGCTCTCAGGTAGCAATTTATGTGCGTGTGGTATTGGTTATCACGATATCGAGCATGTTGTTTGGTCATGTACCTTACACCGTGTTGCCAGATCAGAGTTATCCACATCCCTCAGGGCCCGAGGAAAACAACCCACGATGCCCGTTAGAGATGTCTTGGCGAGCCGAGATTTAGACTATTTGAAATTAATTTATGTATTTTTAAAACGGATAGATCTGAGGATTTAGTAGTTAGTGTCATCTTTTGTTCTCCAAACTTGTTAGCTGCCCATTAGTGTACCCCCATTTTTGTCTTTTTCATCAGAGTGTCGCTTAGTTCGAGAGCAAGAGCGCATTGCTCTCCAAACCATGTGTTCACAATCCCTACCCTGCCATCCATTTGTTACAATTTGTTACCCCTAACCTCGAGATAGCCGCGAGTAATCGTTAAGTTAGTTTTAAGTAATTATATAATCTTAATAATGAATATTGGCTCCGCAAAGCTACAGCAATTGAGCCTGGACTTTTTCAATGTTTTCACACATATGTATCCAATCTTTACTTATGGATTTCCTAATTTCTTTGTTATAGTCAGTCAAAGCCTCTTTATAGTGAGACCAATTTTCTGTTATTTTAGCTCTGTTAAATAGTTTACGAACCGTTTCCTTAGCTTTTCGACACTTAGCTTACTTTTACTAATTCACACTTTGTAAGTTTACTTATCCCTTAGTAATTCTCATATAAACTTTAAAAGGCCAGTTCAGTATGAGTTCGCAACCAAATTAACTACAGTGTTGAGAGACTTATCAGAGCCTGATTAAAAATCGATTGAGCTTGGTGGAGCAAAATCAATATTTTGAACCACCATAAGGATCAACACCAGTAGAATAATTGAAACACCTTTGGCAGTTCTTTTCTGTCAATCAAAACAAACTTCTCCGAAAACTGAATTCCTCTATCTCATATTGAATATGAAAATATATGACTCACTTTTTCACAAAGCCAATACAATCCACCGTTCATGTATGTGTGTCAAACTATTTTATATGAACTCTGAAATGAAACAGAAAGTATGAAAATTAGGATCTTGGTAGATATACATTTTGAAATACGATAAATACAAAGCACAATCGCAGAACGCGGCGAAACTACCATCGGGTAAATTGTTCACAAGTCCAACACTGCGTTGACACCAGTATCGACTATGACGTCCACCCGGAAACGACCGACGACATAGACAGGTGTCTTCACTCCATCGATGAAGCGATTTCCAGGGCTAGGGAGCAACATGTTCCAGTATCCAGACTGATGAGTAATACTCTGAACCTTGACAGTCTCACTAAAGACCTCATTAGACTCCGCAACACGATTCGTAGGCAGTACCAGCGTACTGGGCTGCCTAAGCTGAAGACCAATTTCAACCGTTTGAACAAAATCATCCAATTTTGCAAACAAGATTTGCTCTCTCCCAGATTGTGCTAAGCCATTCTGGAAAATGGAAAAGACTTTTAAAAATAAGCCTAGGCCCATCAATCCCCTTTCCTCTGCTAATCAAAATTCGGATCTATCCTTACTCATAACCACCCCAATGGAAAATGCCAATGCTCTTGGTCAACACTTTGTGAATTCACATAACTCTGGTCAAGCCATGCCCAACAAACAATTTGAGTTTGATCAACAGCTGAATAAGCAATTTTTTAGTTGAAGAAGCTTGTTTTTGCCTGAATAAGCACTGTACGAGACGCAATCAACTAGTCCCGAGCGAGTCGACCTATTTCCAGCGTAGCAACATCCATTGACGACCACTGATGAAGAACATCGAATATGACTAATCAAAATTAGACGAGTTACGCGGAATAAAGATGAGTATACGATTAGACAGATAAAAGGCTAGTAATTTCCCACTAACCCAACCTATATAAGCTAGGGAAATTAACATTCTGGAGCTTCTTGCTTATAAAAACTCGCTCAAATATAGTTGGTAAAGAAAACTACAGTAAACGTTAAACTAATTGTCCCGAGTAAAAAAGTGTTCCGAGAATAAACGGTGTTGAATGTTTCGATAAAAATTAAGTGTTTCGATTTGCGCGAGAGAAAACCAAATCTCTCTTCATCTATCCGGGAAACAGTTACCTATAGAAACAATACAGTCCACTTATCATCGTTCCCAACATTTTGGTCCTTCGAGCCGGATAGATGAAAGGCCCGCGGATGAACCAAGTGAAAACTAAAAAACGACCAATTCGAAATAACATCGAACTGTGACGCCGATCGACGAATGTGCCACAGCCCTATTACAAGAATATGCACGCGTCAGAACGGGACAGAGCGAGTGACGTACCGAGCGAGTGTATGAGCCGTGCAAATAAAGGCAGCAGAAAATATTTTGTTCGCCATTGTGTTTATGACCATCGAGCAAAGCACGTGCAAAATTTGATTCGTGGCAATGACTTTGCACTCGAATTGCGAATATAGTCCGGACAATTAACGTACCGCCGTACCGAAAGTGTAGATCGGGAGTGTGTGAAATAAATTGGCTAGCCGAAAACCTAAATTTTGTCGCGAAATAACCAAAATTTTCCATCGCATCCATTGCGAGTGTGAGTGAGACGATTGAAATTCGTTTCCTAAAGGTGAACCGTTTTGATTTGCCAGTGAGGCAATCCCATTTGAACAAACAAAAAACGCCGTCGAAAGACCAAGGGTTGCCGTAGGGAGTGCGATAAGTTTCTGGCCGTCGTGAGTGTGAGAACTGAAATAATAGTTCCGTCCGAGTATCCCGTGTGTGGACCTTGAAAAGGCCGAAACAAGAACCTAAAAAGAACAAATTTGTGTGGCCTGAACGTGCCGAGACGACAAAACTAAAAGTGAATTTTAAAAAAGACCCAAAAGTCAGTGAACTTAAAGAAGCCAAAGGAAGAGGCCAATTAGAAGAATAAAGTGCAACAAGTGCCACAAAAGGCATAAAGAATCCAGCCAGCAAGTGAACGATAAAGTGCCTACTGACGCCAGTGGCAGCCATTGTGTAGAAGTGAGACAACTAGTGACGCCCCACGTCGACGAAATGGTAGGTGACTTGAGCCATTTTGTTTCCTTGAGCGAGCTCACATTAAAGCATACTAGCGTGACCTCAAAATGACCGACAAAAAGATTCAAATTGTTTGCCTCTACCGAACGATTAACGCAATTCGCGACCGTTCGCTAAAACAACTGAAATTTGCCAAGGATTTTTCTGCGGAAAATGGGGATCTCGATGAGTTGGAGGAAAGACTTTCCGTTATTGAAGATATACGTTCACAGTTTCGCGATGCCCGTTCGAAGCTTTACAGTTTGGTTAAGGACGATGACGTTACCGAACTCAACGAACATGGTGAGGAAATTGAGGATACCCTCGACAGTGCACGGTTTCAAATACGTCGTCATGTGAAGCAAGCCAGACCTCCAACAAACAGTTCCGTGAAACAAGAATCCGATTCTCATTCCTCAAAATCCAAATTGCCCGACATTCCGCTTCCCAAATTTGACGGTCATTATGAAAACTGGATCTACTTTCGGGATCAGTTTAATTCAATTATCTATCGTCGTGAGAATTTGGACGATTTCGAACGCTTGCACTATCTACGAATGTGTCTGTGTGGGGAAGCAAGAAACTTGCAATGCAACGAAGAGACTTTTTCCTCTCTCTGGGATGCATTGACCCGTCGCTACGAAAACAAGCGATGGTTAATCGAAAAACATTTGGGTGATTTGTTCAAGATTCCCTCTCTGACGTCCGAAAATGCTGCAGGTTTGCGAACAATGCTAGATAGTTTTCTGAAGCACATTCGAGCTTTGAATGCCCTTGGAATTACACTGGATAAAATGTCCGAATTGGTTTTCGGCCAAATGGTGATGATGCGTCTTCACCCACGAACTCGTCGGGAGTATGAAGCAGAAATCGGAGAAAGTGAAATTCCATCGTGGAAGGAATTAGTAGATTTTTTGGGAAACCACTGCCGTATGCTGGAGAATTTGGAATGTATGAACAAAAGTTGTGCCCCTGTTACTGCCAATCGTACGTCGAAACCTTCCAGCTCTGCTTCTGGTCCTCGATCGTCGTCATCGAATCGTGCATTCGCTGCAACTACTACTCGTGAGCGCAGCAAAATCAGTTGTTTCTTGTGTCGTCAAAACCATTACATCAACCAGTGTGAAGGTTTCTTGAAGCTGACTCCTCCACAACGTATCGAGAAGGCGAAAGTGCTCAACCTTTGCTTCAACTGTTTGTCCAACAACCACACGTCGAGTCAATGCAATCGAAGTTTGTGTCGAACCTGCCAGAAGAAACACCATACATTGCTGCATTTGGAAACCAAACAATCATTTTCCGTAGTCCCGAGGGAGAATGTACCGATTGAACAACCCAAAGGTCAACGTGAACAACCGATGCCATCCGAACCTCCTGTGTCGAATACCACCGTTTCCCAAACTTGTCGTTCCATTCCGATTCATCGTCAAATTTTGCTCAATACTGCCGTCGTCTACGTCGAAGATTACCACAAGAAGTTACATAAGGTCCGAGTGCTCTTGGATTCTGGATCCATGGTCAACTTTATTACCGAAGACTGCGTTCAGCGGCTTGGGCTGAGAAAAACCAAGGGAGATGTACATGTTTCTGGGGTCTGCGGTAAAACTTCTGCTGTCCAGTACAAGGTTCACGCTACGATTCGTTCTACCACCTCCAGGTACGAGACCGAAATCGAATGTCTGGTTACTAAGCGGATAACAGCAGATCTTCCTCTCGAAGGTTTTGAGGTAGATACCTTGATGATTCCTGAAAATCTAATTTTGGCGGATCCATCTTTCAACATCCCAAATAAAATTGATGTTTTGATTGGTATGGATGTATACACGAAGATCTTGGAGAACAACCGGGTTCCTCTGCTAAATGGTAGCCCTGTTATGCAACAAACGTTTTTTGGTTGGGTGATTGGTGGAAAAGTGGAAGTCAAGAAGCCACTAGTTTCTGATTTGGTCACAAACGAGGATCTGGATGAATTGCTGAAGCGTTTCTGGGAAGTGGAAGATTGTGGTACTGAATCGAAGTGTACGACTTAAGAAGATCAAGCAGAACAACATTTCATCGAGACTCACCGTCGTCAGGAGGATGGTCGATACGTGGTGGAATTACCCTTCAAGCAAGGCTGTCCTAATCTTGGTGATTCGAAGCAGATGGCATTGAAACGACTTCAAGCCCTAGACAGGAGACTAAGCAAAAATTGGCTGCTGGCTGGAGATTACGAGGACTTCATTAATGAATACATCAGTCTAGGGCATATGGTGGAGGTTGGTCCTTTGGAAACTTACGTATCTGAACCTGGACACGATTACTTCCTTCCTCACCATGCAGTCGAGAAGCCGGACAGTAGCACGACAAAATGCCGCGTTGTTTTTGACGGATCAGCGTTATCTAGCAACGGAAAATCACTGAACGATAACCTGCTCGTTGGACCGGTGATACAATCCAAACTAAATGAAATATCGATGAAGTTCCGAGTTCCGAAGATTGCGTTTACGGCAGACGTTGGTAAAATGTATCGACAGGTATTAACTGCAGATAAGCATCAACAATTTCAACTTGTTCTGTGGACACCCAAGGAAATAAGAAATCCAATCGTGTATCGACTTACAACGGTGACTTACGGACTAGCGAGTGCACCATTCCAAGCGGTTCGAGCAGTGAAGCAACTTTGTATCGACGAAGCAGCACGTTTTCCTTGGGCGGCGAAGGTTGTAGCTGAAGATTCGTACATTGATGACGTTTTAACAGGAGCAGAAACACTCGATCAAGCGATCCAGCTGAAAGATGAGATCATCGGACTTTTTGGAAGCGGCAAATTCGAGCTTCACAAGTGGTGCTCGAACAGCAGTGAATTTCTGAAAACCCTCCCTCAGGACAGCATTGAGAAGAAATTGCTGGTTGGTGAGAAACAATCGGTTAAGGCTCTTGGAATTGTTTGGAAACCTGACGAAGATGTTTTCATGTTTAACGTTGATTCCATCATCGTCGGCAAATCGGAGACTACGAAGCAGGATATATTATCGAGCATCTCAAAGTTCTTCGATCCAATTGGCTTGGCTGGGCCAGTAATCATCGTGGTGAAACTCATCATGCAAGGCTTGTGGAAGAAGGAGAAAAATTGGGATGAGGATGCTGACAAAGAAGACATCGAAAAATGGGCAGATTTCAAGTCGCAGTTGGAGTGTCTACGAGAGGTCAAGGTGAGGCGTTGCATTCTGCCATTTGCATCGGTCTCCATCCAAATCCATGGTTTTTGTGATGCATCAAACTACGCCTACGGTGCGTGCATCTATCTGAGGTCCACTAAAGAAAACGGTCAGGTCAATGTATCGCTAGTATGCTCAAAGTCACGTGTGGCCCCTATCAAGAAATCCACAAACCCAAAAAAATCGCAGCCTGATCTTACAATACCCAGGCTGGAATTATGTGGTGCTCTGCTCTTAGCTCAATTAGTCACTGCTACCATTAAATCATTAAACATTTCTACGGATCAAACTGTACTCTGGTGCGATTCTACAATCGCTCTTGTCGCTCGATTGGATCAATCGACGTCCAGAACAACTCAAGCTATTTGTGGCAAATCGTGTCACAAAGATCCAGGCGTTGACATCGACTATGGAGTGGCGTCACGTAGGCACCAACGACAACCCAGCGGACATCATATCGAGAGGATTGATGCCAAAGGATCTCCAAAATTCATCTTTGTGGTGGAATGGTCCCGAGTTCCTGTCAAGTACTGAAGCTGTGTGGCCACAGGAGTTCCAAGATCCTGAAGAAATCTCTGAAATTCGAGTAGCTGTCAACCTTAGTGTCGAGCAACCCATTGAATCATTCCCTGTATTCGTGAACATCAGCTCTTATCGACGAATGGTTCGTGTTATGGTATGGATACAGAGATTCATCAGTATCCTGAAGAAGCAGCCTGAAGTTCCGAGAACAGAGGAGATAAGTAATGCGGAGAAGACAGCCGCCTTACAACAGTTGATGAACTTAGTGCAGGGGGAGGCCTACCCCGAGCTGATCCACCAGTTGCAGCAAGGAAAGGTGATCGACTCAAAGCACAAACTGATCAACCTTTCACCATTTATCGACAAGCATGGAGTTTTACGTGTCGGTGGTAGACTGCGGAACAAAAACTGTAATTTCGACATGAAGCATCAGTGCATACTACCTCCGTACCACAAATTTACGGAAGCCGTCATTCGTGAGTATCATCGTGAAAACCTACATTCCGGCAACCAGCTAACTCTGTCGATGATTCGGGACACATTCTGGATTGAGCGTGGTAAGACTTCTGTAAAACGATTCGTCTGTCTACGATGCTTTCGTCACAAGCCGAAACAACTGCAACAGTACATGGGCGACCTACCATTGGACCGGGTAGAGTTAGTCTACCCTTTCTACAACACAGGGGTGGATTTTTGTGGACCGGTGTACCTGAAGCCAACAATTCGATCAACGACCCGTGCGAAGTCATATATTTGCGTATTTGTGTGCCAAGCAACAAAGGCAATTCATCTGGAGTTAGTAGGATCCCTGACTTCAGTTGCTTTCATCGCTGCGCTACAAAGGTTTGTGTCCCGACGAGGAAAGTGTGCCAAGCTAATGTCCGACAATGCGACTAATTTTGTTGGAGCAAACAACAACCTAAAGGAACTGCACGAACTCTTCAACTCGCAGCCCTTCCAGCGGAAACTACAAGAATTTGTCGAAGAAAAGACCATTAAGTGGATCTACATTCCTCCTCGTGCGCCATCGTTTGGAGGTTTGTGGGAAGCTGGAGTCAGATCGCTGAAGTACCATCTAAGTCGAACCCTTGGTGAAGCGATACTGACTTACGAGGAAATGACCACAGTGTTGACGAGAATAGAGGCAACATTAAATTCCAGACCACTTTGTTCATTATCGGACGACCCTACCGATTATAACGCCCTGACGCCTAGTCATTTCTTAATCTTCCGACCACTCAACGCTATTGCTGAACCTGACTTGACTGATGAAAACATGCACACCCTGTCCCGATGGAATCGAATCACACAATATGTTCAGCATTTTTGGAGCAGATGGAACGTGGATTACATCAATCAACTCCAACAACGATCGAAATGGCACACCAAGGTTCCAGTGAGAGCAGGACAGCTAGTGATAGTACGAGAAGACAACGTTCCTCCTCAACAATGGTTACTGGGGCGAATTGAGCAACTTTTTCCTGGTAACGATAACATCGTTAGAGTCGTGACAGTGAGAACAGCCCGAGGTGTCTACAAGCGGTCGGTTTCACGACTTAGTATGCTGCCGATCAAGGACAACCAACCGCAAGAATCAAGCAACTTGAATCAATAACAGTGAAGGCGAAGTCCCGAGAAGTTTCGATAAGTCCACAGTACCGATGGTAATAAGGTGTTGAAAGCTCCCTTTCAACGGGGGGAGAATGTACGAGACGCAATCAACTAGTCCCGAGCGAGTCGACCTATTTCCAGCGTAGCAACATCCATTGACGACCACTGATGAAGAACATCGAATATGACTAATCAAAATTAGACGAGTTACGCGGAATAAAGATGAGTATATGATTAGACAGATAAAAGGCTAGTAATTTCCCACTAACCCAACCTATATAAGCTAGGGAAATTAACATTCTGGAGCTTCTTGCTTATAAAAACTCGCTCAAATATAGTTGGTAAAGAAAACTACAGTAAACGTTAAACTAATTGTCCCGAGTAAAAAAGTGTTCCGAGAATAAACGGTGTTGAATGTTTCGATAAAAATTAAGTGTTTCGATTTGCGCGAGAGAAAACCAAATCTCTCTTCATCTATCCGGGAAACAGTTACCTATAGAAAAAATACAGTCCACTTATCATCGTTCCCAACAAGCACTTATTCAGCATTCAATGCGAGTCCTCACGATCCTGCAGTATCGGAGGCAATGTCTACACCCAACCGGGGGATGTAAGATTCGCTTACAATTATGTGGGATTCATCATCAGAGGATGTTAGTGGAGACCGCCTGAACCGAGGATGCGATATACCTAGCTGCGGTCCAATGCAAGAAAATTGGAGACCGAAAATGTGGAGTGTATTAGTGAGGGCAATGAATTATGTCGAAAAAAAAAATTGGAAAAAGGTTGCCGACTGGACTCGAACCACGAACGTTGCGATTATCAGACCTGTGCTTTCTCCACTGCTCTCTCCATGCTTCTGAAAATGGATAGCCTAAAAGCAAACACCAAGCGCTCATTTCCTCTCATACTCGGTTTCGTATGCTTTTTCTGCTGGAGAGATTCGAGGCAAGTGTGTGCGTCGTTCTACAATGTTATACGTAAAAAGCTTACTGGTATAGTCGAAAGCGTAGAAAGAACACGAAACAAAAAAGGCAAAAAACTATTACATCGCCTGGTAGGTCAACTTCTAACATTCGCTGCGATGTTCATGAACAGAAGATGATAGGAAATGAATCTAACATTCATTGTAATAATTTTTTGGCTTGCGTGAATTGAATCCCTAAATCCTAAATCTAGCAAAATCTTTGTTGAAAGAGTGACGGAAGATAACTGTCGGTTTAAAAAATCTCCCGCTCAGCTTCCTATCGCTTTTCATGGAGGAATTTCTTTTCCTCCAGCGCTTTCTCCTTTGTGCTTTGCTCCTGCTGCAACTGGTCTAGGGATTCCTCCAGACTGACCTCATTGGTACTGTTCCAGATTCGGATCCGGCATCGCACTATTCTTTCTGCTAGGTGGTTTCTTTGGGACAGACTTCTTGGTTCCATTTGGCACCTTCAGCATATTTGTGCATTTCTTGTTGTCTTACCAGTACAACTATAATGGACCATATCATCTACGTGGTCATGGCCTTCACAAAGCGTACAGTTTCGATCGCTTTTCTGTTCTTCACTCAACGGTGGTGTTAATCCCTCTGAAATTTTGAGGTTATATCCAATGTTGTTCTTCAAGAATGTTCGGATTAATGAAAGCAACTTCCTCAGAGCAGTCTCGTTATGGACAGCTTGAAGCTGAAATAGGTTTTATTATAAGCATTA